CCCCCACCCACTGCAACGAAATGGTCAAAACGGAAGCGGAAGGTGGTTCTTAAAGAGACAGAGGCCAATTTCAAGGCGTTTAGAAGAGGAAGTGATGAGAAGATAAGTTTGTTTTCTAATTTAACATAAAAACAGCATTTTAATAACAACTAAACGTGACATAGATACTTTATTATGGTATGGTATTTAAACGTAGGCCTGAGAAACAAATAATATTGGCCCTTTAAAAGCCCTCATGGGCCACATAAAATGCCATGGCAGGCCACATTTGGCTCGCGGGCCTTGAGTTTGACACATGTGGGTAAAGAGTTAAGCAGAGTCAGGCTCTGGTATGTGAGCTGGCATTATCAGSCTCCTGCAGTGGAAAACATTTCATATCACCGCGTCACTTCACTTCTGTCGCAGCACCTCACTCAGCACAGCTTCTTTTTATTTGTTTTGTCTAAATGTCGAACCTCGGCTGCCTCGCCCTCCAGCCCAGGCCGGAGAACGGCATCACCATCGCCGTGTCGTCCCGGGTCCTCTTCAACATGGAGAAGGAGCAGCAGATCTTCGAGCAGCAGGGCATGGAGGAGTATATCAAGTACCAGGTGGAGCACGAGACGGAGCCCTTCAGTCCTGGACCCGCCTTCTCTTTCGTTAAGGTCAGAGATGCTGATGGTGGAGGTGGATCAGACCCTCCATCCTCAGTTTGAGTCCTTGTTTTAACACAAATCTGCTCCGCGTTCCCAGGCCCTGGAGGCCGTCAACACCCAGCTGAGGGAGCTTTACCCCGAGAGCGAGGAGCTGTTCGATGTGGTTCTCATCACCAACAACCACGCTTACGTTGGCCTGAGACTCATCAACACCATCAACCATCACCGTGAGTCACAGACACACAAACATCTGCTTTAAAGTCAGCTTTCAGCTCAGACCTACAGASACAAAGATCCCAGTCTGTCTGTGGTTAATGGCGATCCAAAAATAGTTACAACCACAATGTGAAGGTCTGAGTTGGTGGAAAGTTTTTTTTTAAATTTAATTTTAAAACAACATCTATTTTATTATCTTTGTTTATTTATTTTTATGTGATGCTTGATTTTTTAGAGAATCTCAAACGTCTGCTGGAAAAATACAGTATTTGCCAAAACTCACAATCCTTTCCAGACCCACTTTTAACAAAATAAATKATTAATTTTGACATGCTCTTCATCATCTTAATGTTAATCTTGGATAGGAATGTTGTGCTTAGAAGCAAGTCAAATGAGAAATAAAGAGAGGTTTCTAAAACAGGAAAAAAAAAGGAAAATATCTCCATCCATGTCCTTCAYGTGACCTAAAGCTGCGAGGGAAATTAAATATTTATCCTCTCCCACTTTATCCTGCCAGGTTAATTGGTTTATGTAAGCAGAATCATCCTTTTTGTTGCTTTTTTTTAAAATCAGTTATGTCACTGACGTTTCACATGATTTGTCAGAAAACGTGATGCTGCTGCGTTGATTTATTTGATTTGAGATTAAAAAGCTACAATCTGATCTGAAGAGGAGAAAAAAAATCATGCAAACACTCAACAATGTGCAATAATAGAACAAAACTGGTGAAAAAATAATTTATTTGAACCTTAATCAGCCATTTTCAGTCTGAGGTTATGAAAACCCATGCACTTTTTTCTATTTAATTTATTTTAAATAATTGTTGGTGCATGTTTTAAATTATGAATGCAGCTTGTGATTCATCTGCTGAAAACAGCAGCTTTGTTTTATTCCTGGTTTTGAATCAAATTCTGCTCAGCTCAGACATAAAACTGAATGCTGAATCAAAATGTTAAATGAATAAAATGAGGTAAAAACAAACTCCTGCTCAGCTCAGAGAGGGAGACTGGGATTATTTTTTTATTTACAACTTTCWTTCATCCTGATCAGTTTATTCCAGACCTCAGTGATTTGAACATTTTCCTTATAAAACTGTAATCCCTTGATAACCCCCCCCCCCAATCTGTGTTTAGTTTTTGTTCTTTAAATTCTTCCTCTTTTGCAGAGTTGTTCATCGAGCGCTTCTGTATGACAGGAGGAAACAGTCCTATAGGCTACTTGAAGGCCTACCACACTAACCTCTACCTGTCTGCTGACCCCGTCAAGGTCCACGAGGCTCTGGAGGAAGGCAAGTACTAACAAAAACAATAGACCCTGATTAATAAAAACCCAACGACATGAAGTGTGTGTGTGAACGTGTGATGCAGGTATAGCAGCAGCCACCATGTTCACCCAAGAGAAGATGACAGAAGTGTCAGAGACYCAGCTCCGGGTTGCTTTCGATGGCGACGCAGTGCTTTTCTCAGACGAGTCGGAGCAGATCTTTAAGGCCCACGGACTCGACAAGTTCTTCGAGCACGAGAAGGCACACGAGAACAAACCTCTGGACCATGTAAAGTACACAAAACAACACAAGTAGCTGCATTTACCTCAATATACTAACTTTATAATGTTTAATTCTATTGTTTCCATGTTTCTTAAAGGGATCCACGATAGTTGTAACATTATACTTTATTTGATAAACATATTTTTTAACTGTAAAATAAAGACTGTAAATATACTGTGGGATGTTCAGTTTTTATCATTTTTAAACTAAATGTTT